CTAGCGTCCCAACGAAGTTAACCTCACTACATCATAGGAGATGTAGGAATGCCGCAAGGTCCTCCTGAAGGTGATTTCCCACAGCCCGTATTAGTTCAGGCCTGACTTCGGAAGATGAAGTATTAGAAAGAATAGGAGAATAGAGGACTCCATGGAAGTCAATAAGAAATAGGTGACATAGGTTGGTAGGACACCTTCTCAGGCATGAAGGTCTAGTCACAGACATATTAGAGGCAGAAACAGAAGTTAGGAGGGGTAGAGGTAGATCTACATTAGATTACTGTTTGCAAATAGTTAAGGATGTGGGTTGTTCTAGTTTTGGGAAAATGCGACGATTAGCTCAGGATAAGAGAAAGTTGAGGTGCATGTCCAACCAGTCTTAGGACTTACGACCTTATGGTGATGACGAGTGCGGAAATAACATACTGTCAGCACATGCGTTTTTGTGCATCAGAGACGCCGAAGTGTGTTGGCGCGTTCTGGCGCGGTCCGGCCTGTCCCATATAACCGGTCGTGGGAAGCCACCTTAATGAGAAACGATCGCTATCCGATTTAAATTTGGGGAGAAATGTCCCATTTCCGTGTACGGTTATACATGTGTTAAATTTGCTTCATAAGGTCCTTACGGAAATTTTATGATGCATACCTCACTTCAGTATCACTGATTTCCTTTGTGAGGGTCCTAATAAAAGGCAAGTTAATTTGAAGTATTCAAAACAGCAATGGTTCTTGTAAAATGAATTGTAGGACTTAGTTGGTGCGCTCAGATTGCTCTACGTGCGCGACACTTGTCAAAGTGTATTAACCAACCGCAACACTTTAAGACGCCCCATGTGACACAGAGGTGGGATAGTTTGTGCAAAATATAAACTTTGGATTTATTACCTTGATTCAAAATACGTGCACGTCGAATGCATTGTTTCCTCGACCTATTGGAAACGATTTCCAAATAAGGATAATTAGGTATCCTGGAACGCCATTTTGTCCTTTGTCGCACCATTCACTTCATACAAGCTAAAGGTACCTAAATACGTAAATCCGTTGTAATCGATTTTCTATTTAATAAGGAACGTTTAAAATTCGATTTTTTTGTTGAAATTTCGATCATTTCCTATTCAAGAAACACGTGATAGCGAAACTGGAACAAAATTAGGCATTTGCAAATTGCCTACAGTTTTATATATAGAATAAAAATTTTTATTGGCGAAAGATAAATTAAAGTGAATCTATTGTGGGGGCTAGCTATCGGTTTGATTATTTAATCCAAATTCCAAATCATATTTAAAAGGATATAGACTTTCAACTGTAGGTACTCATTAGTTGTATAAAGGTGGAAAGTTATTCTAAATAAGTTTTACTCTCCCTGTTTACAATTAAAAATTGCATGATTAAATGACGTGTATTATATAAACAAATCTTGTTACTCAGGGTTCCCCGATTGTAGTTCGTAACTTTGAGAATGCAATTATTATCATTATAGTTAAGGATATTCGCTTGTATAACGGTTTTATGAAAGAGTCATTGTAAGGAAATTATGAACGCCGATAGTAAGCGAGAAATCATAATAAATTGAAAATTCCTGATTTCTCACATTCTAATTATTTCTGTTTCTTACAATATACGCGATTAATCGGTAAAGAGATATCGCACCCACATTGTTAAAAGGGCACTGCTCCAAGCAACAAACGGGTGAAGCAAAAGCTTCCTTAGAAATATAAGTAGGTACAATTTTAAATCGTAACTTCCTGGTTATACGCACATCTATTTAAAGGTATATAATTCAAAGACTTAGCCAGCTTTTTCATTTGCATGGGCCAAAGGTGGCCCACACAGTTGTAGATTTTAAATTTCATGTAAACCAAGACGCTTCGAGCTCCACATGTCGAGTTCCACATGACTATACTTAACTACCTATTTTACGTCATATCTGGCTAATTGTAAGTTAATATTTAGGGTAGGCCAGCACATTAGGCAGAACTTTCATTGCACGGGCTTTGGCCCACCTGTAGCTACGTCCCCGATAACATTATGTTCTAGATTTGCTTCTCTGTTTGTGGCCCACTCGGTTGACCAAGACTAAAAGCGTCACTTTTCGGTTAATAATTGTAGAAAGACAGTAAAATGTGTTTGAAAAGGTGAACAATTAAAATTAAGATAAAGAAGTATTAAAAAACAGTAGGAGAACAGAGTCCTGTATAAATATCAACAAGGAAAATAAGAAATGGGATAATAGGACACCTTCTAAGACGCGGAGAGTTAGTTAATCATTTTGAAACAGGAATAATGAGAGCAGAAGGCGATATGAAAGAAATAGGCGAGATAGGTTGGTAGGACTGCTACTCATGCATCAAGGGCTAGTTAGAATCGTATTAGAAGCAGAAACAGGAATTAAGAGGAGGAGTAGTATTAGACCTAAATTAGATTATTGTTTACAAATAGTTAGGGATGCGGGGCGTTGTAGTTTTAGGAAAATACGAAAATTTGCTCAGGATATATAGGAATGAGTTAAGGTACGTGTCCAACTAGTTTTAGAACTGACGGTCTTATGATGATGATAATGAATAATTTCTTTATACCTACATAGTAGTAAAGTATAGTGTGGTAACTTTTGGGAAGAAAAAGATCATAATGATTCCTTTCGTAAATTTCACGACGCCTTGTAGTTTGCTAAGTAACTACATACGGATGAAAGAATGCGTTTGTTAATTGAACTTCTATTTCTTTCTTCAGACTTAATCAATGAATTTAGATGAAAAGGGTAAAGTAGAGAATTGAGAACCGAACATTAAAACCGGCATCATCACGACTTGATACGGAAAATCTTTTCGTTTAAATAGTAAAGTAATGCCCAATAAATGCAATTTCAAGCTTTGGGGGGTGTTGCACTTTGTTCCAAAGATTTTAAGGGTTCGGCTCGGATGGTAATTTTAACGGGGATGCGGTTTCAATTAATTTCCTAATGAACAATAAATGCGATTTCTTTCCTGGGAGATTATGTTGCGTGTTAGTCCCTGATATCAGGGAAAATTGTGGTACTTGCGGCAGGCACATGGTAGAAAATTATATACGAACCTTTGAAAGAAAGTATGGAAGTTTGACATTTGAGAGGGAAAGTCGCACATTCTTCCCTTGGTACGTCAGGACTAAGTTTGGACCAATATTGACCCATGATTATCAAACTTATATATATGTACCTACTGGGCTGCCCAGTACTGGACCAATGTTTATTTTCCCACCATTAGTCCAGGTTTGGACTCCGGTTCATTCCTTCATGAGATTATCGTATTATTTTCAATCACGTCTGTCCGAAAGTATCACTGCGGCTGGATTTTTAGAAGAAAATGAATAAAAATTCAAATCAAAGAGACCCGCAGTTGAATCTCGTGTTAGAGAAGTATTCGAGTTAAAGAAAAAAAATCCAGTTAATGAATTTCACATAAATGTAAAACAATATGTATGTCAAAGATCCAAAAGTATTCGAGCAAGAAGACGTCGAGATATGGATGTTCGAGTTACAGAAGTTCGACTATAGCTCATTTTAATCTATTTTTCAGGTTATTTTAGAATGTCTATTAATGTTAGCCCCAGAGGTCCTTCGATTAAAAGCAGCTGCTTTTATACTTTGATTTTTTTTTTTCACAAATATAAACCCATTTTTATGGCTTCCCTCGAAAAACGGAATTTACAGTAGCGGCCTTCACTAATAATGTAATTTAGTGATCGTTAGCTTGCTAAAGCACCTTTATTTCTTGCTCTGAATAAGCTTAATTGGATACGGAGCTCGTTAGGGCATCTCGATACGGCCATTTAGTCCACATTTTAAACGTTTATGTATTTTCTTATTTATTTGATACAAAACTTTTGCCTTTTGCGTGTCCTTCGTTCGATGCCGGTTAAATAGAAATGTTTAAATTTCAAAGAATTTTACCTTGATCGGGATTTTAAGTCGACAAAAAAATCGATCATTTGTATTTAAATAAATTAGTTAAAGGCATTAAATATTCGGCATAGAACCAAATTCTGTTTTAAATGATCCTGAGAATGTACCGATGAGGAGGGTGAAACGTTAGTACCTATTTGTTAAATATTTAACATGATATAGATACAAACTAACAATTTCTATGGAAAATATTCGTGGAAGGTATCCCAAAAGTCTTCGATCTACCAACCTACTATAAAATTATTGGGAGACTACATTACGACTGCAGGTTGGACTCGTTTCTAGTATATAAAATACAATATAAAAACCACACATGAAAATTGTAGTAGAGCTAGTTCAAAATTTCATGGACAGCATCGACTTTGCTCTAAACTATGTGTCCTCGCTGTATAAATCAATGATGGGCCAGAATTTTGTTACTGTGCAACTCAAGACTAAGGCTCATGAGATTCTAATCTACCTCTACATTTTTTTGACTTTGCTAAAACAGAGTGTGTACTTAAGTCCTTAAGTACTTTGCATTGCAGGTACCACTTCATTAATGGTAGATCATGTACATTCGGAACTCGATGCGTATTTGTTTTGGGGACCTTTTTCCAAAAAATAAATAGTAAAAGACAAACTATAAAAATCCTAAATAGCGCTTAATTTTCAATTGAAATACGGGGTCCCTAGCAAGCCCCTAGAGCCCCCCCCCTTTATTTCCATCCTTGTACATTACATATACATATCAAAGTGTGCGGATCCAACTTTATTAAAAAAATAAGATTGACTAAATACAGATATCAAAATACATTTGTAGCAGAACAGTAAGCTTGTTTTTTTCTATTTTAATTTATTCATTTTGCTGTTGCATTTGCACCAAAATAACCTTTCGACCTTGCGTCATCATGTTTACTTGTAATGGTTATTATTAAAGTCTACAACTACAATAATAGATGTATCTATAAATAGAAACTGGCCACAGTTTTTTGTGACTGCGATAAGAGTTTATCCAAAGAAAAGGAAAGGGCAAAGTTGAAAGCAGCTACAGAACATCAGAAACAGACATTCCGTTTAACATTGTCTTGTGTAAATTTTTACACGGAGTAATCGGTTGCGTGCGGTTTAAGATGTTTGTAACGCGATTGTGAATAATTATTCTTTTGGAGTACCACTGGTACGTACAGTTTATATGTGTTTGTGAATCATCTTTAATATAAGAACATCAAATATGTGTGCTTTGAACTTGTAGTAAATGGGTTTAATGTAGGAAAGATAATTCCTAAAAATTGTGATTTATTGCATGGAAATTATTCGAAATTTTCTTCGTGTATTTTCACTCATTCCGAAGTTAAGGTGAGTTAAATATGATTATACACATTTATTAATTAATTGTTGTCTGATTGTTGTCGAAAATTCAGATACCTACCTGTATGGGAAGATGTTCATTTAAAACAGGAGCATAGACATATTTTTTAAAATTATGTACTGTTGTAGGGCTTTAGACTATAAAGTAGAATCTGGTTAGGATTCGGTACTCGGCAGATACGGTAATTTTTTTAGAATCCTGCAGGGCACAGGATAATGAAACCTGAAAATTGTCAAAAGTAGATAGATAATACACAATTTGAAAAAGTTCTGGTGGTAGCTTTCCAAGAGTTTCTTGAATTAATCCCATATTGAGCATCTTTAATATAACTAGTCCTTCCTTTAACTAATTAGTAATTATTTAATAGTGTCCATACTGGGTGCTCCCATCATAATACTATAAATGACTAAAAAAAAGGGTCACCAATGTATTGAATTTCTTATACTTCAAAAAATCGAGTTCGGCTGCTCATTTACGAGCTTGAACTATTTGAACCGAACTTTCAAATTGGATTATTATCTGAATCGACTGGAATTGACTGGGTGCCTAACCCAATGAAGTGGGTGCCCGGGCACCCGTGGACCCCCCTTGTTGCTCCCCTGTCCATACTGATATAATTACCCATACCATGATTTTATGTTTCATGCCAACAGTTTAACGTAACAATTTAAATGACATTTACAATGAAACGATATCTAAATGCTTATCTCTTTGACGTTAGTGCAGTGGGTAGGGCAAATAGATTAAAGATACACAAGTTCCTAAGCTGTTTAGTAAAAAAAGTCCTCTATTTTGGAACATACTTATAATAAAATATACAAGCCATAAATTTTTAAATGTATGGTCACCATATATGGACAGTCAAACGGGTGCAATAAAGCATAACAAGCTTTCTTCTGGCGATAAGAAAGTAACTCCGGTAGCTGACGGTCTAATTCTTTCGAAATCTAAATAGTTCTCTATCAGTCATTCGTTTATTATGTAGTAGCATTAACGAGAAGGATTCAATTAAAGCGTGGAGACCTCGTTAAGCCGATCCACTGGCTAATATCGTTACTTTATATTTATCTTTTCCTCGTATGTAAAGATAATCCCAAAGAGGCGCCGTAAAGATCAATGGGACAGCCGACTTTACCATTACGAATATAGTGAGTAGTGAATACTTTGCATATCAAAAGTTACTAATGCTCTCTTTAAGCGCAACACGCTCTTATGATTTTTCTAACCTTTTTTGTCAACCGACTATCAATTATATATACCTAACTGCTGCAACGAAGTTTAATTGGAATACAGTTTGTCAGTTTAATTAGGTTTAAACGACTTCACTGTTTAAAAAAGTCCTGATAATTCGATTTAAAACTTTTGGTAGGTAGGTGCTCATTAATATTAGAACGCATTATAGAAGTACACGGAAAGTAAAATTATCTAGGTAGATACTTGCTACTCCTGGATATTAAATATTATCCTGTATTATTTTTTGATACTCCTTATTTCTTGGAAAATACCACAAATGGCGCGGTAAACGCCATCTGTAGTACGATGCTACATTTTAGGATTACGTATGCTCCAACAAGGTCCATTTGAATATATGGATATCTACTTGCTGAAACGAATCCCGGCGTAGCTAACCTCAACGTGATAGGCACGTTACCATAATTGAATAAAATAATTCGAAGTGGTCTGTATTCTGTCGAAACTGCCAGACGCGGATCGCGATTTGAGATCCAAAAAGATCGAATTATTCGAATTATTTTATTCGATTATGGTAACGTGCCTATCACGTTGAGGTTAGCTACGCCGGGATTCGTTTCAGCAAGTAGATATCCATACAAATGGACCTTGTTGGAGCATACGTAATCCTAAAATGTAGCATCGTACTACAGATGGCGTTTACCGCGCCATTTGTGGTATTTTCTAAAACGCGCTGTTAAGCCAGCAGGTAAAAGTTGGTCTGTGTTCTGTCGGAGCTGTCTGCGACGCGCCGATGAGATCCAAACATATCGAAATCGCGATCCGCGTCTGGCAGTTTTGACAGAATACAGACCACTTCGAATTATTTTATTCCATATTTCTTCTCTTTCGTTTGAACCGCCTCAGGACTACACTAATCGGATTTCAGCTACCATATTTTTGGACTTCGCCCCATACTCCCTTATTCTTCTTGCACTCTATACTTTCCTCATTTCTGTATTTATTCTTCTGCTTTGTTCAACCCTCTTCACAGTTTAGACGGAGTCAAGTCTCCTTGTACGTCAGACTTGTCTAGGTACCCAGGTTCTCATTCTGGAATTTGGATCTCTTTCTGGTGTGATGATCATTCTGTTCCTCATAATATGATCGGACGTGGAAATTTAAAGCCTTTTTGATGAAGGAGTCCATCCCCAGCGTACCGGAACAGTCGACTTTCTGTTACTTTTTCGTAAATCAGTACCTACTACCTCAAATTTATAACAGTTGGTTTGAAAGCAGTGCAATTTCCAACTAGAAAGTATTTTTGTTGATTACAATCCTAAGCATTTGTTTTCCACCTGCGTAATGTGAGAAACTGCCAATTTTTTAATAAATGGTTTTTGTAGTGGCAATATTGAAAATATTACTTCCCTACTATTTAACTAATTATAAAATATAATTCTCATACTTAATTAGGTACCTACTACAATAAATAGGTATGCTGGGTCGTGAGATCTTTTTGAACAACTGTCATTTCGCATTTCGGTATTCAATTATCCATCAGAGTAGTTCTCCATTAGGATTTCTTCGGTCTAATAAGTCGTCGATAACTGACGATGAGACAGACAAAAAGCATTCTCTAAAGGTACGCTAATAACATAATAAGATGCAGTCAACTTGAGCCCATACGCATATGTATGTATAATATCCAAGATTCATCGCGTTGACAAGCGGTCAATAAAATGGGGCCAACCTTAAATAATATTTTAATGTGACATGATGATAATGGCGAAAGCCGCGCGCGGGGATGGCGATAGTAAGTTATTGTCACAAAAACTGATTCATAAAGATATTCCCAAGGCCTACGGTAGGGAACACACGACGATCACATAACATAAACGATGATTCTTAAACAATCGGTCAGTGGTACCAAAACATACGGTTCATTACAATAGAACTGCATATCAACTTAGCGCGACAAATTTATATTTATCACTTTTAAAATGTATTACAATATGTTGGTTATTTGTTTCCACCAAATCCAAAAATTTGTCGCTAGAGCCGTTAATGGAAAATTGGTGAAGTGCTGGTTGGGTATCAAGCTGGCACTAGGTGCATATAGCGTATCTAGAAATGGATATGGCTGCAGTTTCGAAATTGTAAATATACCTACCTAATTACAAACTGTAATAGTAAATTACAGATTTTAATTATAAGTTGACAACAATCCATAAAAGATCATCCATAATACAATAGATGTCCGTATTTATATAAGGATATAAGGATCATAAGATTGTGACTGTGTGACATAGAGAGTAGGGAAACTCGATCATATCTGGTTTCTACTTACAAGCGTTGATTTTTTTTTGTAACCTATGACTGTATTCTTTTCTTAAGAGGACTTGGTTATACTAAATATTAAATATTTTTGACTTCCTTTGGGTTTTTTTGTACTAAACATCATCATCATAAGGTCGTCAGTCCTAAGTCTGGTTGGACATGCAACTCCACTCTTTCCAATTCTGAGCTAATCGTCGCATTTTCCTAAAACACGAATGTCACACATCCTTAACCACTTGCGAACAATAATCTAATCTAGGTCTACCTCTACCCCTCCTAACTTTTGTTTCTGTCTCTAATACGTCTCTGACTAGACCTTCATGCCTGAGAAGGTGTCCTACCAACCTATCTCTCCTATTTCTTATTGACTCCCATAGAGTCCTCTGTTCTCTAATTCTTTCTAAACCTCTTCATTTCTAACCTTCTCTATCCACGGTATCCTCATCATTCGCCTGTAACACCACATTTCTATCGGTTCTAACCTTTTCTTTTCAAATAGTAAGTTAAAAAGATAGATACCATTGATGAGTTGTTCTTCGTCCTCTGCATTCCCTATTTCGTTGTTTTTTGTGAGGAACGTTTAAAATGTAAAAATCGATTTTCGTTTAAAACCGTATAAAACCTGATGCGCGCCCACATAGCGTCGAAATGTAAATTATAACGTGAAACGATACTCCGTGAATATGAAAAGGTTAAGAACCACTGCGTTATTAGACCAACAACGAACGGACGAACGGACGAGCGAACGATCGTCCCGTCTGTCCGGATCGCGCTTCATTTGTCTTGCACGCTGTCATCTATCTGGCACAGATCGGACCGCGATATGGTGGACGTTTTAATGGGCAAACCGTGTCCTCCGACGGTATTAAGCAAAACAAAAACGACACATCAATTAGGTGGGTTTTAGATCCGTTTTTGTTTGTTTCTGATTAGTACACCGTATACTGTTAATATATTTCACATCGCAACGTACCCGGCCGTTCTGTCTGTCTGTCTGTCTGTCTGTCTATCCACGGTCAGGTTCAAATCGGATGGTGGTGCGGAGGTGCGCGGCAGGTTCGCCATTGAGAAAAAGACAGTGAACGAGCTGGAGTAGTATAATAATAATAATGAATCTTGTACATGGAGATAATTTAAATTCGGGGTTTGTAAGACAAATCACGAAATCACAACTCTCATGTAGACGTTTACACTTGTTTAACGCCCTACAGGCGACATCCATTGTTCCTTGAAATGTATGTGCATACTTAGTGAAACGACAGGTATTGATCCAAATTAATACGCATTTATACGAAAACAAGGACTATTAGTTATTGATAACCTCCAAATACGAGGTTAATTTAACCCTAGCACGTCAGGTTTTGGATATAACTTCAAAATCCACTAAAACTTTTAAAAAAATTGTCGGTCTGGAGGTGTAACTATGTATACCTACTGTATGTGTTTGAAGTCGCTAAATCTTTGAATCGTTTGGGAT